TACATATGCACATACACAGCTTACATGCACAGAGTCTATGAAACAAATATAATGATTTAAAGATTGATACATATTAAGTAATGCAAGTATATTCTCTTCTACTCATAAGCATGTTACTCAAACCACATATGCAAAATCAATTTCATTATATGTAAATTGTGATGTTACAATATACTTTTCTGCTCTATACTGTAGAGAAAATCAACACAAGAATATAATGTGCAATATTTTCTTCCTGACAGTAACATTTCATTTTAAATGGCTGAAGAAAGAAAGTTTGAAAATGAACCTGACATACTGACACCTGCATTCATAGTCAACATCGGGGGTCTAACATTTATTTAGTCTTGCGTATAATAGGGGAAAGGGTTTCTTGGTGCAAAGATTAACAACAAGCCGGTTACTAATACTACCCAAGTAGTTACCACCAAAAAAATTGTTCACCAAAACGTCAATTCTTGGAGCCTCCCTACTTGAGGTTATGAAGGTACTTGACACATCTATTTTCCTAACCTGAGAAGTTTCTGCAGCCATCAGCATTTATCACGATGACGGATGAGACTCGTACTAATGGCCTTGATGCTGCCTATCAATGCAGATCACTTACATTATCTTACAGTCAGTCATGTACGAGTAACAATGCCTCTGTGGCTGTGAGGATCATCCTCAGCATAATGATAATGTCCACTTATACTTCAGAGATTCACCCATCAAAATCATTATGCGGAGGCACCATACCTGGATCTTGTTCTTCTTTCATAAAAGAAAATAATATTAATAATAAATTACACATATCAGATATTTATATTAATTTACAATTCTCTTGCACGTCCATGCCATTCAGTTTATTAGAAAAAGTTTCAACAAGTCACACATAATATGCAATGCATAAGTGAGAGATGTACTTATCAAGAACTCCTCATTTTAAGTTGACATGGGGGTTTACATGGCAAAACTTAAGCAAAATAAGAATCAATATAAAATGAAAATCAGTCAGGCTTTTACTGTGTAACCACAAGCCCTCAAACAATTTCCCATTAAGAAGCAATGAACTGATAATTATAATGGTAGTGTGCAATGCCACTCAATACACATGACAACACTAGACCTTATCATCAGAGATAAAATTAAAATCAAACTTTGGTGCCACATTACATAATTCCAAATATCAACAAGGGGTCTAAATGGGACATGAAAAACAAGAGTATGACGGAAGAGAAGTTTAAAAATGAGAAGTAAACCGATGAACTTTACCAATCTGACCTATGAACCTGCCCTTGGAAAATTCTTTATTATCTTTAATGCACACAAATTTTACAATCAGATTTCATAATTTCTGGTATTGTCACATATAATGATTTGAATGCTTATGAAAATTGCAATGAGGGTGGGTTGATCCAAACTTTGATGGGAAAACAAATCGTTTTATTTTACGTTCAGTTTTTACTCCCTGACATCACATTACGAAGTGTATTATGATGTATAGTTAGTAATTTTGCAGAACTCCGTAAGTTCACTCTGTAGTTATAGCTCAGATCAAAATATTTGATGGAACTACACTGCATCACTGGAGAACAAGTTCACAAAGGGCTTCATTACCCTTTGTAAAACCTACATTTGAAGAGGTTTTGTCTAAACAAAGAATTCCATAATGTATATGACAAACCAAATTTTTTCCCAACAAAATTCGGCAAATACATATGCCTACTAATATGAGCAAGAAGTGAACGGTCTTATTTACAGATAAATATAAGAATGTAAACCATCCCATGATTGAAGTCTGCGTGCAAGCCATTTTCATGAACTGTAGGGCAACTTCCACGCTGACCCCACAAGACTAGTCAAGCATTGTATCAGTTCAATCACATAAGCCTAATCAAACTATTGAACAGATGTTATCGTGACCAAACTTGATGTTTAACTACAACTGCAGAATGTTTAGAAATCCTAAACACGAAACCATAAGGTGCTATGAAGTCTTCTGCAATCTCAATTCTGTCTTCATGATGGAAATATCAACTTAAGGTAGCAATATACAAAATATGCAGACTTTCCATTAGCACTTTCTTACTTTCTCACTGGCTGGTCACATCACTATACCCAGGACTCGTATACACAAACACACTTTCTTTGCATGACTTGTTCTTTTGCTTGAAATTGGAGCTGGGTAAATATGTAGAGTATTATGGCTTGAGCTGAGCTGATTCTTGGCTACCACAATCAACCCCCAATTCTGTCCCAATCAATTAGATAAGAATATCCTATGTATGGGTATATTTTATGGGCAACTGGCACCTTTAATTTCAGTGCTTCACCATTAAATATTAGGTTCCAATCAGTGTGAGAACCACAGACAGTAATCACTGATTCAGACTTGGGAGACTGAAAGTAAATTTTGGCAAAGCTGAGTGTGTTGGGTGAGTGTGTGTCAACACAGGCTGTCCTTCACAAAGATCAGAAGACACACATTTTCTGATGTTTCCAACTACTCTACATATCTGCTTCATACATGAAAGGTTCAGCAGCATATATCAGCTAGGTAATTTTAGGATTTGTTACAGAAATATACAACAAGTCCTGCTCTTGAAGATACCACAACTTTCTCCACATGTCACATTCCTTTCAAACACCAGATCCACTGAAAGTCACAGATGTCAGAAATTTATTGTAGCCCAGGAATCTGCTCACCCACTCACAACTCGTGGCCTAAATTCAGGTTTAGGGTTACCATTAGGATTCTCTAATCATACGAAGACTTTGGCTAGTGCATCAGCTCCAGCACTTGCTATGTACGGCTTGCTAGGATGGAAGGCCACATCAAATATGCTTTCATCAAACTTCTTCCTATGAGCTGTGATCTCCTGAACACACTGTTTGCTGTCGAGCTGCCACAGGCGAATGCTGCAGTCGTGACCTGGTGAAAAAAAAAAAAAAATCAAAATCAAATGATTTATTAGACATTTAATCTACTAATCATAGTATAACAGGACTGCAATTATAACCTTTCCTTGTTTCAACTTTGCTTTCCTACCATATAAATGTGATCATGAATAATAAGCACTTGAACTCACTGCCTGAGAGAAGGTAGAGCCCATTGGGATCTACGGCTAGTGATGTGACAGAATCTAGATGAGCCACCATAGACTGAACCAGACGTCCACTGTTGTTGTCCCAGAACCTGATGTGGCGGTCTTCGTGCCCAGTGATGGTCAGAGGCAGAGTTGGATGGGACACAACCTGAAAATCGTATATTTACATTAATTAAAAATGTTCAACCCAAAATTTCACACTAAAATCATTTACAAGTTTCTTTATTTCAAGACATAGGTATTGTACCAATTTTTTTTTTCCAATATATTATTGAGAAATGTGTCCAGAATATAAACAAAAGCACAGTCAACTGATACAGACCTTATGGACAAGAAACCCAAAGTACTTACCCTATTAATCTGTCGGTTGAGAGAATTGCTGCCCTGGTCTGGTTCTGTATCAAGACGCATGACTGGTTTTCCTGTCTCCAGGTCAAATATGACACAGTTTGCTGTATTAAAGCTGCACACAAACTGATTGGTAGACTCATATACAAAATCAACTGATGTTGGAATTCCATCTGCAAGTAAACAACAATACAAATGAGAAAAGACATTATTGCTTATCAACAAATACAAACATACCTATAATAAAGAAGTAACTATCTATCTATACTTATTAATAAATTAAACTATAAAGATAGAGCATACATATGCCTAAATAAATAAATAAAAAATATATATAAAAATAATTAAATAAATATATGCACATTAACACACCTAAATGACTATAATAATATTATAATAAAATTAATATACATATAAATAAATAAATAAATAAATAAATCAATGAATATATACAAAAATATGTATGTATGTATGTATGTATGTATGTATATGTATGCATATAAGTATGCATATATGTATGCATATGTGTATGCATATATGTATGCATATATATGTATGCATGTATGTATATGTATATATGTATGTATATGTATATATGTATGTTGCATGCATGTTGCATGTTGTATGTTTGTTGTACATATTGTATACATGTTCTAAATATGTTGTATATATGTTGATATATGTTGTATATATGTTGTATATATGTTGTATATATGTTGTATATATGTGTATATATGTTGTATATATGTTGTATATATGTTGTATATATGTTGTATATATGTTGTATATATGTTGTATAATGTTGTATATATGTTGTATTATGTTGTATATATGTTGTATATATGTTGTATATATGTTGTATATATGTTGTATATATGTTGTATATATGTTGTATATATGTTGTATATATGTTGTATATATTTGTATATATGTTGTATATATGTTGTATATATGTTGTATATATGTTGTATATATGTTGTATATATGTTGTATATATGTTGTATATATGTTGTATATATGTTGTATATATGTTGTATAATGTTGTATATATGTTGTATATATGTTGTATATATGTTGTATATATGTTGTATATATGTTGTATATATGTTGTATATATGTTGTATATATGTTGTATATATGTTGTATATATGTTGTATTATGTTGTATTTATGTTGTATTTATGTTGTATTTATGTTGTATTATGTTGTATTATGTTGTATATTGTTGTATTATGTTGTATTTATGTTGTATTTATGTTGTATTTATGTTGTATTTATGTTGTATTATGTGGTATATATGTGGTATATATGTTGTATATATGTTGTATATATGTTGTTTATGTTGTATTTATGTTGTATATATGTACATATGTTGCATGTATGTTGTATCTATGTTGTATGCATATTGTATGTATGGTGTATGTATGCCATATGAATGTTATACATATGTCATATGAATGTTATTTATGCTATATATACTAGAGCTGTGTAACGGTACACTTCATTGGTACAGTATTGTTCATAATCGATTAGGTACAGGTCTAAGTTACTGGAACGCCTGTGTATTGCTACTTCACCTATATGGGGCAAAATGAACTAACATTTACACATTTATATTCTCTTAGTGTAACTTAGGCATTTAACTACAACTAAAATGTGACGATTCACCTCTTACAACTGATCCCATTACTAGCACCTTGCCTCCAGAATAAAAGCTTGGAATGTGAACCAGACAAATTTTCATCTTTGTTTTCATAAAAATACCTTACAGCTCTTGCTGTGGAAGAATCACAGATCCCATATAATAATCTTGAGTCTAACACAAACATTGTGTTCAGTTTGTTGTTATCAGTTCAAACAAGTACAAGTACAAGTACAAGAACAGGTACAGGTACAGGTCTGGACCTGGACCTGGACCAAGACCTGGACCCAGACAAGTACAAGGACAAGGACAAGTACAATTACAATTACAAGTACAAATACAAATACAGATAAACCTTGTTTAAGTACACAGTTCTAATATACACATACATATATGTAGCCACACATACTGTCATATATGTGAACACAAACATATCTAAAGTAATACCTTTCTCAACAGCATATGTGTAAAGGAGTGGGTTGCGAGCATCAGCTGACCAAAGACGAACTGTTGAATCCGCCCCACATGAAAGAAGGTGATGACGCTGCGCATGGAATGTCAGGCCCCATACTGCATCTGTGTGCCCTGATAAACTGCCCCCAACCACACTTGGATCTGGGAAAGATATATACATCATTTGGAGGGTTCAATTACAGAATTATATCTAAGCTGACTGCCTTAAGATAAACTACTGAGATTATGTGCAAGTATGAAGAGCTTTTTAAGAAGTACAATTTTTCATCCTTTAGCTAAGTAACAGTGGGAAGGTATGTACAGACTTGCCTAGCCAAATGCAATTTTAGTTTATTGCCTTTGTTTACACATCAATGGCTCCACATGAGGACCTGATCTGACCTTACCTCTCTCCTTGATTGTCTGATTTTTTCTTTAATTTCTTTATATTTTTCTTTATCATAATCACCAAGCAAGACAATAAGCAAACCCAAAATTCTCCCAGAGCCATTGGGTTAACTCAAGGAACAGGGTAATCAGGTGATGTTAGGTAGGCCTACCAATTAATTACTCGGTATATTAAAGCCAGGGGAAACTTCAAAGCGTAAACAAAATTCACAAAACAAAACAACAGCAGACTGCATATATCCACCACAAATGGGTTCATAAACTGATTCAACAATTTTCATTACATCTTTTACTTTACATACAATTTTTCTTATTTACCAAATCTTTTATTATTAGTACCAAAAAAGGTACCATGATGAAATATTTTTTGAACAAGGGAATGGCTTTCTTTGCATAAGCTCAAAAATGGATTAGTCAAACATGCAACAATCAATACCAGTTGCATTAATTAACTTACCATATGAGTCATAAGGATCAATATTAGAGGAAGGTATATTCCAGATGCGTATGGTGCCGTCAATTCCTCCTGAATAACACTTCTCTCCGTCACTGTTCATTGCTAAACAGAGAACCGGGCCAAGATGTCCCCTGAATGTGTAAACGGGCTCTACATCCAAAGATGCTGACCTGTTAAAATTTTAAAAAGTATTTATATTAGAAGTGAACCAAACAGCAATCATCTCATTTCTTTCTACTTTTAAAACGTGAACACTAGATCTCTCTGAGACTACATTAAAAATAAATAAAGATTTAATTTTGTGATTCTAACATTATGCAGTAGTGATACATGAATCTACACAGTATTTGCCCTGCATTTACATGAATTGCAATTTATGTGATAGACAATCATTCATAATCAAAACAGTAATTAATTGCAATGAGCAGGTGTTTCTTAAATATTTTTTAGCATAATACAAAGCAATAAGTACAGCATTATAAACCAAAAAGTCAGATTTGACTTTATCACCAAAGAAAGCAACTCCACTTTCACAATGGGTGGTCTTGGATGGAGAAGTAAATCAAACTTACTTCTTTGCTGGCACAGTTTTCTGAAGGTTCCACAACTTTAATGTGGCATCCTCTGAAGCTGTTATGAGAGTGGGTTCTTGAGGGTGGAAACACAGAGCACGGACTCCATCAAAGTGTGATCGCAGAGTGTATTTAGCTGTCCAAGTCTTTCGGAAGTTCTCTTTGGTTGATATCTGCTTTACAAGGAAATGAGAAATGAATACAAATGAACTACACATTAACATGTATATATAACTATTAACACAGAGACTGTTGGCAATATCAATCGAAGTAATAATCAGTTACACTTAATATAATAACATTTTTAAGAAAAGTATTATGAATATTCCTTGAAAATCAAAAGACAGACAAGACAAATGTACACACGCTGACGCAAACTGAAGCTTCCAATGTGTAAAACTTACATCATATGTAGCATCAGCCTCATTAGTAACTGTGAGCTGTGCAAGTTCTCCCAGTCCCTCTAAGGCATCTTCCTCACCACCTGGTCTCACAAAGGTCCCTCGAGTGCCTGGGCCAAATCCAAATCCAGCTGAAAAAATAATAAAACTAATTAATCAAGAATAGTGCAAGTACAAAACAACTAAACATGAGACTATATGAATGGTGCAGCAAAGGCAACTAGTACTGAGGCAATACTACTGGCCAAGAACCAGTTTGGCTCACTACATAAGATGGAGTGAGGTGGGCTACTTCACACTACAACAAGACCACACATGGCTTCAATTCCTGATAAAATATCAATTTCATAATTAGGTAAATGGTCTGTACATACATACATATCCATTCACAGACATATATATCTATATATACATACTGCATGTTCAGATACACAAACATATATACAGATACATATGCACGTAAATATACACACAAATACAAAAACAAACATGCATACATCCATCCACCCATACATACATACATATAGACAGAGATGTATATCCAACTTACTTGACTTCAATGCCAGGTTTTGCAATTAACAACCTGCATGAGATTATGAATTCATAGAGCAAGACAAAATATACAGAAATTATTTGAAAAAGGGGACAACTCCCATTCTCCCTATCACACAAATAAGGCTAACTGTAGATGCACACAACACAAATACACCAACATAAGCATATACACATTAATATCATTCATTCACATTACTTTTAGGTTAAAACCTCAGTCATAACACAATAATCTGGTCTTGTTGTAAGATTCTTTTTTTTATCATTTTACTTTTTGGGTAGGTACTCTACAGAGTACATGTTAAATTTGGCAGCTAGATAAAACTGGAATACAATATGTAAAACTACTGTTATCTGAACGTAAACCACACTATGCTGAAAGATAAAACTATAATATAAAATGTTGAGCTAATGTTTGAGCTGAAGGTGAAGCTTACCTGGTGAATTATGTCAAGCAAAAGGTCTATGGAAATTTCACCACAAGTGGACAAGCACAACTAGTTTTTAAATCAGAACTAGTTTTTAAATCAGAACTTTTTGTGCAATTATGAAATATACGCAGTGCATGCCAAGCTGAAGCATATGTCTTTAATGCTTGCAGCTTAAGGAATAAACATTAATATGCATTAACCACCAACACCACAAGAAAAGAACAAGCCCAAGTAATTCAATTTGTGGCTTTCATGTTTGTTTCCAAAACGATCTTAGCTGTCCAACCATTTTTCTTCAAGGCTGAAGTGACAAGGAGATGAAATCAACACTTTGTTTTTTCCAAACACCCAAGTCTTCTGTTTACTTGGACTGTTCCTTGCTTCCTAACAAGTCTCATGCCAGATGTCTTAACTACCAGTGATGCAGAGACCACTGTCATCAACAAAAGCAACTGAAGGATCAAAAGCAGCTTGATCTCAAGAGGTTTTACTGCAGGAACCACCAGCACCACCAGGAGAAATAAAAGTAGCACAATTTGATAAGATCCAAAATGACCACACCTCCTCACCAACACCTGAGTCACCTTAACTTCAGCAGGCAACTGGTTTCAATACTTGATTGAATTACTTCAAAAATACTTATAGAATCTTTTAACTCTTTTCAGAATATTTTCTAGATATCCAACCTTGAAAGATATCTCAGAAGGTGTACTTGAAAGTGAAAAAAGTCTGAGTATTCTTATAGAATTGATTCTCAAGCTGAGTATCATGTAATTTCACTAACCAGTAGCACTGCAAACAAGTTTGTTTACCTCAAATACATTCAATGCAGAATCACCCTTTACCCTGAATTTCCAAGGAGAACCAGTCCAATAAGTGCAAAGATCATCATATCAAGAGTGAGGGGGTGTAGTCAGACAAGAGTGGCTGCATATGACAACTTACTGGTGTGGGAGGTGGTGGTGGTTGTGGTGGTGGGTGTGGCAATGGTGGCTGGGGAGGGGGGTGTATGTTGGGGAGAGGACGGGCTACCCCGAGCCCCTACAGCTGCCCGGTATCTAGCTTTGAGAGCCTCAAGGGCAGGGGGTGGGCCTGTCCAGTCCCCTTGTAAGGATGGGAGTCCCCCTTCCTCCAACTCCTCCTCTATACCCTCCATCCCCTCCTCCTCCTCACCCTCCAACTCTGGCCTGCGCCTGATGCCCGTCCAAGTGGCTCTGCGCCCGCCCACCAGGTGTGCTACACGACACAACCGACATCACCACGGGTTCGTCACCACACCACGGCAGAATAAACCATATCGATCAACACCACTGGGCCAATGCCACATTGAAAGAACTCACCACTCACATATCCATAGGTATGTCTTGATAATGTTTTGTGTAATATTTACTGAATGGCCATTCAAAAGCACCTTTCTATATTTTTCTTAGTGCCTGAAAATGCTATTTAGTTATTTCTCATAATTGTATACAAGAAGAAATAGTAAGTCCCCTTCACATACCATGATTTTAAGAGGATTTATTTCTTCCTACTCAATTACTTTCAAATTTTGACAATAGTTGCAAAAATGTATAAATAAAAAATAAAAGAATAAAAAATTAGGTAGTGAGAATATAGTCATATACTTACCCAAGTGAAAAGGTATTATGAAAGAACGTAAACAAATATGCAAACAATATTAATGAGATGTAACAACCCCTCTGTTCCCACTATACAATCATATGTAAATTTGCTTAGTGCCTGCACCTAACCCATATGTTTGGTGTAGTGTACAGTGCAACAGAAAAAAAGGCGGAGGAACAAGGAAATAAGAGTATCCAAATGCTTTTCTCTTACTGCTTTCTTCGGGAGATATTCATCGTGACCTGAAGAAGCAGTAAAGCAAGAAGGCCTTTCTCATCTTCATGTGATTCCTTGTTCTTCCACTTCATTGTTCCTGTTGCAAAATATATATATTATAAATATAAATATATATATATATATATATAATATATAATATATAAATATATAATAATAATATATAATAATAATAAATATAAATACATACATATACAATATATACATATACATATATATACACATCTATACATATCTATACATATATATACATATATATACATATATATATACTATACATATCTATACATATATATACATATATACATATACATATACACACACATATAATATACTATATTTATATATACATACATACATATATACATATATACGCATCTATACATATATATGCATATATATATTAAACATACATATATATACATATAAATATACATATACACATAAATATATATACATATATATACATAGATATATACATCATATATACATATATACATACATATATACATACATATATATATACATACATATACATACATAAATACATATACAAATACATACATATATATATACATACATACATATATACACATATATATACATATATAAATATACACATATAACATATATACAAATATCTACATGTATATATATATACATATATATACATGTTATATACATATATCATATAACATATATACATGATATAACATATATATAATACATTATAACATATATAAATATATATACATGTATATACATACATATATATATATATACATACATATATACAACATATGTATACATATATATACATATGTTTACATATATACATACTAATATACATTATACAATATATACACATATATACCACATATATAATAATACAATATATACATATACATAATATATATACAACTAATATACATATACATCTATTATACAATATATAATATACATATAAACAATATATACATATACTATATACAATATATACATATACATATATATATACAATATATACATATACATATATATACAATATATATATATACATATACATATATACAATATATACATATACATATATACAATATACACATACATATACATATATACAATATATACATATACATATATATACAATATATACATATACATATACATATACAATATATACATATACATATACATATACATAATATACACATATACATATAACAGTATATACATATACAATATATATACATATATATATACATATATACATATGCATATATATAATATTATATATATATATATATATATATATATAATGCATATATATATATATATAAATAAATATATATAATATATACATATGCATATATATATATATATATATATATATATATATATATATACAATATATACATATACATATATATATATACAACATATACATATACTATATATATACAATATACACATATACATATATATATCTAATAAATATACACATATACATATATATATACGATATATACATATACATATATATATATACGATATATACATATACATATATATATACGATATATACATATACATATATATATGATATATATTCATATACATATAATATACAATATATCATATACATATATATATACAATAATACATATAAATATATATTAATACATATACATATATACATATATACATATATACATTATATACACATTTATATATACATATATATACATATTATATATACATATAATACACATTTATATACATATATAAATTAATATATACATATATATACATATATGCATATATATACATATATATGCATATATACCATATTTATGTATAACATATAAACTACATATATGTACATATGATATACATACATATACATATACATACATATACATACACATACATACATATACATGCATATACATATACATATATATACATACATATACATGCATACATACATATATATTACATATACATGCATAACATATATACATACATATACATCATAAACATATATATACATACATATAATGCATATACATATCATACATACATATATATACATATATATACATACATATACAACAATACATAAACATATATACACACATATACATATACATATACACATAATATATATATACATATATATATATATTAATATATATAATATATATATACAATATGTATATATACATATATACATATATACATATAATATATATATACATAATATATATATATAATGTATATATAATATT